GCCAATCATCTATCATAGGACATTTCAGTTGCTTCCATGTCCTGGCCACTGTGAATAATGCTGATATGAACATCAGTGTGCAAATATCTTTTCAGATATGAATTTTCAAGTTTTTGGGTTAAATACCCAGTAGAGGGATTATTAGATCATATGGTAGATCAATTCTTAATTTTTTGAGGACCCTCTATACTGTTTTCCATAGTGGCTATACCAATTTGCAGTCTACCAGCAGTGTGGGAGGGTTCTTTTTTCTTCGCATTCTCTCCAACATTTTTTATTACTTGTCCTGTTGATAATAGCTATTCTAACAGGTGTGAGATGGTATCTCATTGTGGTTTTGACTTGCATTTCCCTAATAGCTAGCAAAGTTGAGCATCTTTTCATATGTTTGTAGGCCATTTGTATGTCAAGAGCTGGTTCTTTAAAGCAATAAACAAAACTGACAAACCTTAAGCCCAAATAAATAAAATCAGAAGCAAAAGAGAAATTACAACACCAGCACAAAAATACAAAGGATCATAAGAGACTACTATAAACAATTATTTGCCAACAAATTAGATAACGTAGAAGAAATGAATAAATTTCTAGAACATGCAACCCTTCAAGACTAAACAAGGAAGAAACAGAAAATCTAAACATATTGATTACTAGCAATTAAATTGAAGTAGTAATAAAAAATAACTCTCAATAAACAAAAGTCCAAGACCAGAAGACTTCACAGGTGAATTCTACCAAACATTTAAAGAAGAACTAATACCTATCTTTCTCAAACTACTACTACTACAAGAAAAAAAAAACTGAAAAAGAAGGAACACTTCCAAACTCATTCTATGAGGCCAGCATTATTCTGTTACCAAAACCAATTAAAGACACAACAAAAAAGAAAAAAGAAAAAAATTACAGGCCAATACCCCTTATCAACATAGATGCAAAAATTCTCAACAAAATATTAGCAAACCATATTCAACAATATCTTAAAAGGATTATACACCATGATCAAGTAGGATTTATTATAAGGATACAAGGATGGTTCAACATCCATAAATCAATCAACATGATACATCACAGGAACAAAATCAAAGATAAAAATCATATGATCATCTCAATAGATGCAGAAAAAGTATTTGACAAAAAAAATTCAACATCTATTTTTAATAAAAACTCTCAAGAAAGTGGATGTAGAGGGAATATACCTCACATAATAAAGAAACAAACTAAATCCAAAGTGAGCACAAGGAAGGACACAACACTGATCAGAACAGAAATAAATGAAATAGAGCCAGAAAGCAATAGAAAAGATTAATGAAACTAAGAGCTAGTTCTTTGAAAAGAGAAACAAAATTGCCAATTTTCTAGTTAGATTAACTAAGGAAAATAAAAGACAATAAATTAAATCAGAAATGAATGAGGAGAAATTAAACTGACATCACAGAAATACAGAGAATCTTAACCCATTTCCCATTTAGAAAAAAAGTGCAGCTCACTGCCAACATTAATTTAACTTTACATAAACACGCTCTTTGAGGCTAAACCAAATCTGACTGGTTTTTAATGTGAAAATAAAATATAAAAACTGTTCTTGGAGTTATTTCTAAACAGAACTTGTCTCTAACCCTAATGTAAAAAGAAATGTATACATAAATTAGATTCATCAAATGAATCTTTGGCTAACAACTGTTTGAGAATGATGTTAACATTGTGCATAGGAATGCTACATTTTCTAGGATTTTACATTTTCAGCGATCGAGAATTACTATGTTTTGTAAATGGAAATACCACTACTAAAAACAGAATGCTATAAATAGAATGATATTATTGGTTTCCAAAGACTATTGATATACTAGAGAGATGTGAAAATAATAATAAAAGCGAGATATTTCATGGCAAACTTTGGGGATAAGGTTAGGACTGTAATCCACAAGTTATATCACAAGGTAAACACTGCAGCCGCAAGCCCGGCCAGTGAGAATTATTCAGGCAAACGGGAAATGAGTTGAGATTACTAAAACAATTATATGCCAACAAATTAGATAACCTAGAAGAAATGAATAAATTCCTACAAACATACAACCTACTAAGAATGAATAATGAAGAAACAGAAAATCTAAACAAACCAATAAAGAGGAAGGGGATTGAATCGATAACCAAATACCTCCCAACAAAGCAAAGACAAGGATGAGATGATTTCACTGGTGAATTTTTAGAAACATATCAAGAAAAATTAAAGCCAACCCTTCTCAAACTCTTCCAAAAAACTGAAGAGGAGTGAGCAATATCAAACTCATTTTACAAGGCCAGCATTATCCTGATACCAAAGTCAGATAAGAACACTACAAGAAAGAAAACTATAGATCAATATATCTAATGAATATAGATGCAAGATTCTAAAAATATTAGCGAACCAAATTCAACAGCACATAAAAAGGATCATACAGCATAATCAAGCAGGAATAAACCCTATGTAAAACTAAAGCTTCTGTCTACTGCTATGCCACCCTGAACATGACAAATCTCATCTGATCTCAGAAGCTAAGCAGGGTTGGGCCTGGTTAGTACTTGGATGGGAGACCACCTAGGAAGACCAAGTGCTATAGGCAGTAAAAAAAAACAACTAAAGCTTCTGCACAGCAAATGAAATAATTAGGCAAGGAAATAATCAGGCATGAAAAGGCATCCCATAGAATGAAAGAAAATATTTGCAAAACATCACTCTGAAAAGGGGTTAATATCAAAATATATAAAAACCTCCTAGAACTCAAAATTTAAAAAAAAAAGCCAATAAAAAATTAGCAAAGAACTTGAAAAGATATTTCTCCAAGAAGACATAAAAAGGGCCTCCAGGTATATGAAAAAGATGCTCATGATCACTAATCATCAGGGAAAGGTAGATTTAAACCCCAATGAGATGTCACCTCACACCTTATTAACCAAAAAGAAAAAACAGCAAATGTTGGAGAGGATGTGGAGAAACTGGGACCATTATACACTACTGGCTATATATCCAAAGGAAATGAAATGATATCTTAAAGAGATATCTGCACCCCTATGTTAATGGCAGCATTATTTGCAGTAGCCAAGATATGGAAACAACCCAAATGTCCTTCAATAGATGAATGGATAAAGTAATATACAAACTTAAAAAAAAGAAGGTAATCCTACCATTTGTGACAACATGGATGAACCTAGAGGACATTACGTGACATGAAATAACCCAGTTACAGAAGGATGGATACTATATGATTTCACTTACACAGGATTTCAAAAGAGTTAAACTCATAGGAGAGAATAGAATGGTGGTTTGTCAGGGGTTGGGGGAGGGGGGAAATAAAAGCATTTTATAATAGGTATAACATTCCTGTTATGTAAAATGAGTAAGTTCTAAAGATCTGCTATAAAACCCAGCACCTATAGCTAGAACTGTGCACTCAAAAATAGGTCAAGAGAATAGACCTCATGTTAAGTGTCTTACCGACAAAAAGAAAAAAAAGAAAAACCACAAATATTACAAGAAAATTCTTGGAGGTGATGCATATTTTTAGTATCTTCATTCTGATATATCATGGGTGTATGCCAAACTCATCAAGATGTATACATTAAACATGTGTAATTTTTATCAATTATACTTCAATACAGCTAAAAACAAATGGAATATAAACAAAGAGCAAACTTGGAGAAAATATAAAGAGTTCAACTTTTTGCATGTTAAGATTGAAGTGCTAATAGAACATATGTGGAGATGTCTACTATGAAGATGAAAATAAAAATTAAGAATGGAGAAAGATCTAAACTGCAGACAATGATGTGAATATAAGCAGAAAACATGACAGGATTAAAATTATGAGTTTATATGCCATCACTTAGAGAGGAGAATAAGAAAACAAATGGACCAAAATTGGAAAACTATACAGTGCCATACATGGAGCTCAGATTAAAAAATGAAGGTCTATTCCTCTTATTTTGGAGGTGAGGGGAAATTAAAAGATGAAATCTTAAATTCAGGTAGTCTGAGGTCTTAAATAAGCTCAATACTGACCTACCTGGGACCTTGGCAAGCCATCAAATTACACATTTTAGTTAAAATGGTGATCAGATTCCACAAGGGAGTAGAATTCATCACATGAGTAGATTAAGATCATGGGTACAAAATTGGTTGATAAATTCCAAAACGCTAAGCAAGAGTAATACACCCTTAAAAAGTGAGGCTGTTAACTTGACTCTGGCTTCCTTCTCCATACCTGAAGGAGTAACTTTTAGGACCCAGATATGAGTTAGCTCCTAGGTAAAGACAAACTAAACTATTGTAGTAAAAGAGATAGAGAGTACACTTTCAGTTCAGGTCAGGTCATTTGTGACAACATGGATGAACCTAGAGGACATTACGTGACATGAGTAGATTTTCACATCTATGAAAATAAATTTTCATAGATATGAGTAGATTTTCATATCTATGAAAGACAATGAGTAGACAATGAGTAGATTTTCATATCTATGAAAATAAATCGGAGAAGAAAGGTTAAGAGATAGAATGTTGTTAACACTAGCTCAGGAAAAAGTAAGTTAAGAATTTGTATTTAACAATAAAAAGTCCAACTTAGCAGAGGTAAACTCAAGAGAATGAGATGTTTGATTTTTAGTCAATATTGACCTGGGAGGACACAGTATTATTTAAAGCAGTGTTTGGGTTTAAAAAATAACATACGATAAAGTAGTTGTTTAACAACTGGAGACACAAAGATCAATTAAAAGTTTTTAAATGATCCTTTTTTAGGATAACCTGGGAATAATAAAGAGGAAGACCTTGCTAGCAGGTCACTGAGATGCCCTTTCTGAGTCCAACTACATACATCCACTTTGTTGCTTTTACTTATTGGACAATTATTAATATGTAACTTTAACAGAAAGATTAATAGTGAAAAAAATAAGTATGGGTTAATATAACAATAGTAATAATATCAATACATTTACTGTATAAAATTATACAAAAATCCCAAGCTTTATCATTATACAGCGAAGGGGATTTTCTTTTTGAAAAAGACTCTTCTCAGGGCCCCCTTCATGTCTCTGTTCCTCAGGCTGTAGATGAAGGGGTTCAGCATGGGCGTCACCACAGTGTACATCACAGCCATGACAGTCTCCTTAACAGTAGAATTGTTGGCTGATGGACATAAATAGAGACCAATAACTGTCCCGTAGAACAGTGACACCACGGAGAGGTGGGAGCCACAGAGGTGGAGAACCTTGCGGATACCTCTAGCAGAAGGGACCTTGAGGATGGAGGACACGATTCGTGCATAGGACATGATGATGAGTAGGAATGGGATGACGAGAATGAGCCCTCCCATGAAAATAATCACCAGCTCATTAACTCGAGTGTCAGAGCAGGACAGCTTCAGCAGAGCAGACATGTCACAGAAAAAGTGAGGAATCACGCTGTTGGCACAAAAATACAATCTGGCCATGAGAAGAGTGTGTAACATGGCATGCAGTGTGGTCAGCACCCATGACAGCACCACCAGAGAGAGACAGAGCTTGGGGTTCATGATGGCGGTGTAGTGCAGGGGGAGGCAGATGGCCACATAGCGGTCATAGGCCATGGCCACAAGGAGGAAGCTCTCTAGGTCTCCAAAAAACAGGAAGAAGTACATTTGTGTCAGGCAGCCTGCATAGGGGATGGATGAGTCTTGGCTCTGCATGTCATGCAACAATTTGGGGATGGTCACAGAAGAGAAGCAAATGTCAGAAAAAGACAAATTGCTGAGAAACAAATACATGGGTGTGTGGAGGTGGGAGTCCAGGTAAATCAGGACAATGATGAGGAGGTTCCCCAGGATGGTGGTAAGATACATGGCCAGGAACAGGGCATAGAACAGGTTTTGCTGCTCTGGCTCAATTGGCAGGCCTAGGAGGAAGAACTCTGAGATGACAGTTTGATTTCTTCCTGTCATGTTCTGTGACCAATACCTTTAGGAGAAAATAACAGTAAAAAATAACAGATTTTTTAATAACATTAAAACGAACATAAAAACGAACATCTTTCTATAATGCATAATCTGTTAGTTGTTCTACAACGACTGAATTCAATCTTGTTATTTCACTCTCATAACAACACTCTGTAACCACAAATATAACACATCACTAAATCCAAGCCATTTTTCAGACGTTTTTTCTCATTTTTTGTTAATTAGCATGTAACAATATCGACTCTTTCTTCCCTTCTAAAACACTCTTGTCTCTTATCTACTGTGTGATCGCACTGGATCTCCGCATATTTCCCTGGGCATTCATTCTCAGTGACTATGATTGGTTTCTTCCCTAACAGTATGTTATATATTGGTGTTTCCTTGGGTTTTTCCTTAAACACTGTTCTCTTATAATTCTCCATATATAGACCTAAAAACACACCTATTCCTATTACCGTATAAATCTCATGGGTAAAACTCTATCGCCTTCAGTACTGTATCATTGATTGCTTAGTGATTATTGCCCCATGTATCACAAGCATTTTCAGCTCAAAAGATCCCAAATGAAACTCATGATCTCACCCTGTCCCTTGCCCAATCCACTCTTCCAAGTCTCTCACATCTCAGTAAAAGAAACCCAGGCTCAAGTTAAACCTAAGAGTTTTCTTTCATTCTCTCCTGGCACTAGCAACATCCAATTTATCGAATCCTATAAACTCTGCCACTTAATTATCTTTCTCTTTCACCTGCTCCTATCACAACTCTCACTACCCTTGAAACCAGGCTAATATCATACCTTGTCTATACTATTAGAACAGTCTCTTAATTTATCTCCCTGCTTCCATGCTCATCCTCTTTCAGTCTCTTCATACTGTGGCATTCTAAGATGAAAATGTGATAATCATTCTCCCTGAAGTCTTCATGAATTCTCGTTGTTCTTAGATAAAAGCAAAGTTCCTTTCAAGGGAAAATTCACTCCAAAAGGTGCTTCATGATCTGATCCTTGCCTACCTCCACAGCTTTATCTGACTCCATAATTGTACTCACTTCCCACTATCCATCAATGCTGGACTTAAAAGTGACAACCTTGCCTCCAGCTTTTCTCACTTGCTGTTCCTCTTGCTAAGCACCTTCCTCCTTCTGCTTTTTATTTACCTAGCTTGCCCCTAATTATCCTCCAGGTATATTACATATCAGTTATGCAGCTAAACATTCCCTGTCTCCCCAGACCAGGTGAGAACCCACTGTTAAGTTTCCACAGCATCTTGTGCTTGTCCCCACAACACTCAGTGTCATTGAGATTATTTGTTTACAGCTACCTTTCCTACCAGGTTGTAAACTCCATGCAAAAAAGGTCATGTCTACTCATAACTGCAGTAGTGCCACCACCTGACACAGTGCCTCGATACAGCCCATGTTTCATAAATATTTATTGGCTGTGCTTCAGGCTGAGGCATGGATACCTCCAACTTTAAAGACAGCAAACTCCTGTTAAGTTAGAATATCTACTCCTACTAAATCCTCTCAGAACAAGAACTCACTTGTTTTAGACAGAATCCTGGATGTGACCTTGGACTCACAGAAAATATTATACCACCTCAACCACATTGCTCTTTATCCTAGACAACCCAGTAAATACATCCACAC